GATGTAGGGTCATATGAATTTACTGTTTTTATTTCAATGTTTTCTATTTTTCAAATATAGTTTAGTAAATAGTTTCATTGATATAAATAATACTCATATTTATCACTACAAATATATTATTTGATAATTTCGTAAACAACAGATTTTTCTATTTACTATGTAATAAATATACCATATTTTCAAGCAAACTCTCCATCTTAAAAAACTCTTTATTAAAAATTGACAAATTGAAGAATTTAGATATTAATAGATGTTTGTATAATTTGTAGTTATTTATTTTATGTGATCTATTTTTTGGTTGAATGAAAATAAAATTTTCCAATAAATTTTAGTCTATTAATAATAAAACTTAATAATGTGCAATGACTTATGTCCAAATACAATTTTCAAATTTGAACACATGTTAAATTACCTTTCATATAATCTTACCGTTTCTCATTATGTTGGTCTTTTTCATAATATGAATGTAGATCAAAATTAATTTCGATATCTGATGTGAGACTTTTGACACATAATTTTGTTTATAGTTTTTAAATATTGATATGAGTTTAAAAAATGGGCTTTGGATCAATTTAAAAAATGATCAAACAAATTCGAATAACATAGTTTTCCCACTATCATCTATCTGCACTAAATTTTAAAATTTTGGCATTAAAAACTAACAAATGTTTCTAAAAATAATAAAATTTATTACTCATATTTATCATCATCTTAATTTGATTTATGTGTATATTTAATTACACACATAACTAAAAAATACATAGCAAGTTGCATACTGGCTCATCTAAAAAGATCTGCTTTAGATCAATAATTAATGTTACTACAAAATTAGATCGACATTTTATTCCACCACTATAAGATCAATAAAGGTAGATTCAACTTTTTTTATCCTCTCAGCAAAATTCTGTGAGATGCATGGCCGCCTTCTCTATTTTAAAAGTATTAGATGAATTCAGCTTTCTCTATCCTCTCAGCAATATCTAGAAGATGGACGAATGCTTTTTCCATTTTTCTATATCTTTAGTTCCTCATACTTTTAATTTTAAGATGGAGTGTTTGGCATGTTCTGCCTGTTCTTAGAACTATAGATTTTTTTTTGTAAACAACTTTCTGCCTAATTGGATTAAACTTTAGTTGACAAAAAAGAACTTCATTATCTAACTTTTGTTGTTCATGTCAGTTTTACACTCGCTGGTAACTTCTCAGAACAAAGAACCAAATTTATAAGCAAAACAAAGTATACAACTTTTTTATAGTTATTTGGTTTAATATAATTAAGATACGTATGCGCTAACCCGTCTAATACTTTTTTAAAGTGTATGTATATCTCTAAAAAAAGTTCTACAAATTCTACACATGCTTCTTTGATTCTTGTATAATATCTCACACATGCTTCTGGTGACAGGATCCATGTATGTTGTCCACAATCCATTAACTAAAACACCATCTTAATGTTATTTGTACATATATTTATGAACACAACAATTTGCATATCATGTCATTTAAAAAAATCAGCTTGGGATCACTATTGAACGTTACTGCAACATTGAGTATCAGAATATTTCTTAAAATTATGAGAAACTTGCTGCACGATCATAATAAACGAATATTAACAATATCTTCAAAGCATCTGAAGATTCCTTAAAATTCTTAATAGATTTTATTTAGCTGATTGTAAATATGAAAAAATAGATTATCTTCACTTAAAAATTAGCATCTCTCTGCGGGACGTTATTTTTTATTTGTTTTATATCTAGTTGTCCATAATATTTAGAGTGTCAATTGTTTTGTACATTATATATTTAGATATTACAGTATTGTATTTTTACATTGTTAGTTTTTGTCATTAGTGAAAGTAGATATATTTGAGTATGTTGTCTAGACAAAAATCAAGTAGTTTGAGGTAAATTTGTTGTTTTTGTTTAGTAAATAATTTCATTTTTTTCTTCTCATTGTGTTGATTTGTCTAATCCTAGAATCTCACCTGCATTGCTTTGCGATCACATTTTGTTGTGTGTAATATAAACTATATCATATGTTTTAACTTTAAATATTGCATGTTTTTAGCTTGGACGTAGAAATCGATTAATTTGAAATAATACGATTGTTTTTATTTTTACCTTGTAGGTAGAAATCGATTAGTTTGAAATATTTATTTGTATTGAATAATCATAAGTGAAGTATAAATAGTTGACTATGTTGTATTAAAATGTATATACAAAAATCGAGTTGTTTTCAATAATTTAATTGTTTTGTTTAAATATTTTCCATTTTGAATTTTGTTTAATAAATAATTTTGTTATTGTTTTATCTAAACTGATTCGGTTTATTTGTCTAATTGGGTTTATTTCTTTGGTAAAGTGTTTTTTTATATAAATAATCATGGTACTAATATTAATCATATTTAATTATATAGATATATTATTTTGATAATTTTGTAAAATTTATACTTTTCTATTTATGTTCTTCATTTGTAAATGTAACAAATTTCGAAGTAAAACCCACATCTTCAAAAATTCTTATTACATATCAGTGAATTTTATGAATTTGTAAATTAATATTCGTTTATATAATTTGCAAAGAATTATATTATGCTGTCTAATTATTCGG